GTTGGCATGCTAGACAGAGGCATCATTAAAAAATTCCTGTTTTTTTTAAAAAGGTTTTAAACTTTTGCTTTCCCCCAAAAATATTCCTTATGCTTGGTTTTTTGTTTTGTTTTGTTTTTTTTTGTTTTGTTTTTTTTTATTTTTGCTTTTTTGTTGATTGATTTGACAAAGTATTTGGTGGCTGCAATTCCAATGCACAAGAAGAGAAAAGAAAAGAAGAAAAGAGAAAAGAAGAGAAGAGAAAAGAAAGGAAACAGAGGATGAAGGCCGCAGTACAGCAAGGTTTCATTAGTTCATAGTTATCTAATAAAAAAATAAAAGAAGCAAAATTACTGCCTTCATAGTAAGCAACAACACAGCTTAATAACAGTATCACACAGGTTCAGGTTCAGAGGCAAAATGCACTAGACAAAGCCTACACACTAGGCATACAACACTGAATAAGAATCAAAGATGTAGAAGAACATCAGGAATAACAGTTCCCTTCAAGCACAACATTTCAACATTATTTTTTAAGTATCTTTATGGTATGTTACTGATTTAATTTGTTTTGGGAAAGGGGGCAGTTGTGGGGGAGGATGAAAATCTTAGTAAAGCAATTAACAAAATAAGAAATTAAGATTAACCCAAAAGAATATATATTTTATATACTGGTTTATATGTGTGTGCAACATTTATCAACCATGGTGAAAGGCTAATTATGCCCTCCAGTCACTACATGCACAGCCTGATCAATGCTGTTAATGAATTACCTTTGTTAACTTACAATGCAACTACTGTATGACCAAGAACATACATACAGTGCCATCATGTGCAGAGCCTTTAAGATGGACTTCTAGATGCTGCATGATTCAGGCTACTCTTTGTGGCACAAGGGTACTTCACGGAATGGTACACTACGCATGGTACGGAGCCTAGAAGATGGTTTGTGTGTGTGTGTGAGTGCACACGCATGTATGTGTGTGTGTGTGCTCACACAAGCATGCACGCTTATGTGTGTATGCGTGCATGTGCATGTATGAGTGTGTGTGTGCTGTAACATTCTTTAAAGTCTTCCTTGATTTCTGCAGTTCCTGATTTTGAGACAGGCTCTGTATTTCACATCTCTGAAAGAATAGGGAGAAAGAGATGGGGTTGGGGGGCGGGGGGAGGAAGAGGTGAATAATTTAATTGCAGATCTTCACAATAGAATTTTCTCTTCTTGATTTTTTAATAAATTCTGAGATAACAAAGCTTTCATACATTGTATGTTTAAGTGAGGTTACAATTGCCCTTTTTTGCCAGGCAGAACACTGAAATTAAGAAAGAAAAAAAATGCATAAAAACATTTAGCTATCTAAAATGTGTTAACTTTCATGGGTAATGAAGAGTGGAGCACAGCTACTGAACTATCTTGTCAACTGCATACTGTGGTAAAAAGATAAAGGCTCACCTTGTTAAACCATCTCATACTGATTGGCAGTAATAAACCGTGACAGACAACAGGCCAGCAGCATTCCAATCAACTGAGGAAAAAAAGTCACAGAGTTAAGGGTAATTGTAATGCACAATAGGCATGTCTACACAAGACGCTAGAAGCTCAGTAGACTAATTCTACTGCACATTAACATGCCACAGCAAAAGCTGTGCTAATGTGCTAATATGTAGTAAAATTAGTCTGCTGCACATTAGCGTTGTGAAAAAGATGTGTGTTGGCGCTACTGCGCAGTAGCACTGATTATGGCACGTTAAGTTAGTCCCAGTTATTACAAGCACTAAACTTAATATGCCATAATTACAGCACATTAATGCACATGTAGACATGCCCAGTGACTGCCAAATAAATTCATTGATAGCAGCTTTTTAAAACGGACATATGTCTTACTTGAAAGCAAATAGTTTACGTTCCATATCTGTCATATGCCAACAAAAGTGCAGGTCTAATTCAAAAAGCAATGAGAAAAAGTAACACTCACCTTTTCATCAGTCTTCCCACCCATTTATAATCAGAATCCCACCTTCTTACTTCGGTGATTTTTACTACTTTTTATTCTAGTGTATACTGCCTGGCCTATGAGAGATTGAGCTGGATTTATATATGGCACATGAATCAACAAACACTTGAACAACTTGTAATGGGTCTACTGTGTCCCATCACTACTACCAAGGTACATCCCTGAAAGATAGCAGCCTTGGAGATCGGAGTAACGAAGGCCAGAACTTAACCTGCAGAATCTTTACTATGGACTATTATGAATAAATAAGAAAAGGAATTTACTTGACTCCTAGGCCCATAGGCAGCATGCAGAGCAGGTACACTTAAATGTAAACATATAGTTAGCAATAAACATCCCTATTAAATAAGAGGCACCATTAGAAGTGTGTTCAGTGGAATCCTACTCATGCCAAAATCCAATGTTTCACTTTCTTTACAAAAGTTAAGCAACTTCAAAGATAAAATGGTTTGAAATTTGGAAACACAGTGCTGATGGGCTAGACAGTCATCATTGCTGTGCAAGCCCTTCTCCAGTCACTCTGAGTTCTCCCAAGGCATGGCATTAAAATTGTGTGCCTTAACATATGCAAAAATACATGCAGTGAGAGCAGCAAATCACTAACAGCCTGAAAACACATCCATTAGAAAGAAATTTTTAAAATTATTATTACTATTATTAATCTCTTAGTAGTTTACTATTTTACTCATTGCAGTTTAGTGTTTTCCTGTATAGACCAATGGTATAATACACTGCAAGTAATTCAGCCGTGATTTCCACATCCGCACTAGTCAACTAATTAACTCATGAACATATCCACATTGTTGCAGTTCATAACCATGTGCAGAGGTAAAGAGAAGGGACTGCCTCTGCAGAAATATCAACCATTCTGAATTTGTTCTAAGGAGTTACAGCTACTTTTGCTAAAGGGTGGTATGTAACAGCTGCTGTACCTCATTCATTCATGTCCAGTGGGGCATCTGTTCAGGGCACCAAACAACTCACTTTTCATATTTCTATTTACTGTATATGGAGCATACCAGAAAGAACTGATTTTTAAGAATGTAGGCCAAAATATGCTAGCAATAAAAACTTTTCTTCTCCAGATGAATTGCACAGCAGGCACCCAGCTAACTTCTTGCTGGTTACTCTTTCAAACTGGCTTCTAATTCTGTTGCATCTTACTCTCTCAGTTCTGTAAAGAGTTCACCAGTAACTGCCACTTCTCCTAACAAGCTGATCACTCTGTCCTTCTACTACCCCAACCCTGTGTTACATTCCCTAAAGTGCATTTATGACCCCTGAGAATGAATGTATAATCCTACCCATAAAAGTGATACTGGTCCCTAATATCTAAGGATCTTTAGATGACACTGTCAAAAGAAAGTTCCCAGCCAGCTCCAGGGATTTCCCCAAGACGATTTCTGTCTTGCCCCCCAGAAGGATCCCCTGCAGCCTGGAGCTGGCTAGGTGCTGCCCCAAAAGTGGGGCAGGTCTTGCCCAGCCCCAGAAGAGTGTGCATAGGGCTGCAAGAATTCTGCAGTGACAGCTGTCTCCCAGCCTCATGCACATCAGGATCCCTCCCAATGTGTATGGGACAAGGAGACAGCTGCCACTGCAGCCAGCAGATCTCTCCTGGTTGCATGTGCATGGGGACCAACCTCATGCTCTCTGCCAGCCTGCGGGCTAGCACCATAGGGGAGCCAGGAGCTCCCCTTGGCTCATACAAGGGGCCAGAGAAGGATAGAAGTAACCCTGTATTGGGCTGCTCCTAACAGGGAGCATGTGTACACTTACTGCACACTATTTTACTGAGCAGTAAGCCTTTATAGCATTAATTGCATGTGTAGACATGCCCGGTGTAGCCCAAACACATGGCTTCTGCCCAAACAGAAGCAAGTTTGTGCAAGATAAACTATCCATAGTGCCTAAGAACATCTCAACTTCATAAGGACTAATGTTTAAGAACAACTTTAATTCTCCTGAACTCGAGTTAATTTTCCCACCATGGATTTGTGCACATCAGGTGACAGGGTTAATCTTAGTTCAGGTATAGACTAGACTGAACAGAAGTTACAAAATACACCCAACATGACCCTTATTAAAAACCACAGCACTTGATCTTTTCAATATTTTCACAGCTGCTGAAAGAGATTTGGATGCCAAATCACCTCTTCAGTTTTGAAAACCCCAGTCTACATCAACAGCACAGCCTAGCAAGGCCATAACTTTTACCCACATATGTTTTAAGGTTTGTGTTAGGGGAAATTTGGTCTCTGTATGTGAACTGTTCTCTTGAGCCACAGTAAGGATACTAAGCTACTAGGACCTTGTCTCCAACACAGGCAAGCAATGGATGCTTTAAAGGCAGAGTAGAAGAAATAGGGCAAGTATAGAGTGAACCATCCTGTCATTCCCTCCCAGGTCCCATCAGTCATAGGTTTTGGGATGTCCTAAGCCCATGGTTGCATATCTGCCTGTTGTGTTTAGCAGCCTCTTCATAAATTTGTCTAATCCCTTTTTGAACCCAGTTACACTAGTCTCCACAACATCCTGTGGCAATGAGTTTCACATGTTAATCATGTATTATATGCAACTGAAATACTTCTCTTTCATTTTATTTAAATCTGCAACCTAATAATTTGATTGGGTGCCCCCTAGATTCTGTATTTGGAAAGATAATACACTCTTGACTTTCTCACACCATTCACAATGTTATAGACCTCTGTCATGTCTTCCCCTCCCTCCCTCTCCTCAGTCATCACTGCTCCAACCTGAAAAGTCCTAGTTTTTTCAGTCTCTCCTCATATAAAGGACAGACTCGAGCACTCTAAAGTTTTCACTCTGTTTGGCAAGCAATTAATTGATGTCACATAGGATGCTTGCAGACATAATTCCCCCCACCCAAATAGTGCTTTACTTTACACACGGCATGTTCCCATACCAAGCCTGCACATGCCCAGAAGAGGCAGCACATTACTTCAACCTGGCTCGCCTGATGTCTGTAAAGATCAAGCGCTTTAATGGGGTTTTTTTTTGGCTTTTCTATCTAATAGCTGATTGAAAGCACCAAAAAGCCCTGCTGAAGTGCCAGATCTTTATAGACACTACAGAGCTGGGCTGAAGTACACGGGATTTTTCTTTTCTTTTCTTTTTTTTAATGTCTGCAAGCAGCCGTAATGTTGTCTGGCTGTGCATTACATCTCAATGTTTAAATATTCCAGTCTCTATGGGAGTGATTTTATCAACTCGGCAGTTTGTAAAATCCTATTGAGAACCCATCACATTCTGCAGCTTTATTACTCAACAGGGCTTTGAAGACTTCCACTGCTACTTTATGTGATATTTCTTTCTCTGACTCATTTTTTTCGAGAGCTATACCTCTTTTAATGGTTCCTGATATATATGTATTTGCTGCATATTTCCTTCAAGGTTATAGAAGCTTTTATATACAGAACCGAACACAATGTTCTGAATGGGTTCTGGGTCCTGGCTGGATCTCCCACTACTTTTTAATATTTGTGGGTTTTATTTTATTTTCCTCAGTTTATGTGCAAGTTACTCCTGAGCTTTATTATCTTTTTCACTGTAGTAACATTGAGTAACAATGGTAGCATGGCTGGTCCTCTTTATTTTCATTGTACTAATTGGTCTTAAGATCCTAACTGGTTCCTTGCTGATCCCATAATGGTTTACTTTGTTTGCATATGAGACTTGGGGGGAGAGGAAGAGAAGGATGCATGAGCAAGCAAGTGCATGCACACACAAGTGCACAGGCTTCCCTCCTCCTCCACATGCCACCCACAATGAGATTTCAGCAGTACTCCAGAGCATGGAAGGGCTGCTACTTTAAAAGTCACAAAATTGAATGTATTCATCAAAACCTAGACTACCACTGCGAGATACCAACAAATCCAGCATGTGTGGTTTAAATTGGGCTGATTACATGGGCTGACCATGAACAGAATGTAATACAATCAGTACATAGCACAACAGTATAACAGAATGAATACTCGAATGGGACATGCATCAAAGGGCATTAAAGAATTAACTAAAAAACAAAACAAGTAGTTAAGCCAGTTTGATGCCTTATATTTTTATTATTATTAACTGTATTGTGGTAGTGCCAATGGACTGACCAAGGATAGGACCCCATCATGCCAGGCAATGTATAAACAGAGTACAGACTCCCACAGAGTTTACAATCTAAATGTACTTCATGCAGGGCTTATATCTCACACATGCACAGAAAAGGAAGACTTATTTTATTTGAATGGCACTGAAAACAAGAGTCATCAGGAGAACATTCCTCTAGTTTTTACTTGTACAGTGCTAAACAATCATGTATTAGTCCCAGAATAGTGTGTATATATGCATACCAAGCCAATCACATGGGTTCCAGATGTAAGAGGGGAATAAACAATATATAATTAAACTGTAAAAGTGAAGTATTCATTAAAAAAATAGGCTCCAGATTTCTACCACAATCTGCCTTCATCACAGCTTTCTTCCTGTATCAGATTTTTGGTGAA